AAAAAATATATATCAAATGATAGGTAATGACATCAAGCATCTATAAAAAAAAAATTATATTGATATGTTCATTTTTGAAAAAGTTACGGCACATTTTAGTAAAAAAAATTGAAATAATTTCAAAAATTAGCGATTTTTAAATTTCTATTTTTTTTGGAGATTTCCCCAATTTACGGTCAACGAGGGAAATTTTTTCAATTTTTAAGGTTATTGTCTTCAACTAGATACGATTTGTGATCTTTTGACGTATCGTTGAAAGAAATCCGTTCGGTGAGAGCTGAGAAAAAGTGGTAACAGACACAAAAAAAAAAAAAAACACATCATAGTAAAACCAATACCTTCTCAGCTTCGGATCGAAGCTAAAAGTTACAAACAATTTTGTTCTTTTAATTTTTAAAACAATCAGACGTTTATCTGTTACAGCATATTAAAGTTTAGTGATAACGATTGTTATAATAGTAAGAGAGTGTGCGCAGTGCATATACTATTATATTTAATGTATATATATATTATCGGTTGACCAAGGAAGAGAAAAATTTTTAGTAATAACTATAAAATAATTTATGACCTATAGAAATAGATTTTTGCTGATCCGATATTACAAAATCAAATTAATAACAAGTTTTTACTTAAAATTAAAATATTTAAACAATATAAAAATCTTAACGATTGATCCGTTAAATAAATAAGAACAAAATTATAATTTTTTTTAGCTTCGATACGAAGCTGAGATAGTTTGGTGTTACTATGATGCGTTTTTTTTTGTGTCTGTTACCATTTTTTCTAAGCTCTCACCAAACCGATATCTTTCAACTGTACATCAAAAGATCACAAATCGAATCTAGTCGAAGACATTACCCTCAAAAATTGAAAAAATTTGATAAAATTGTCTATTTAAGCTAACTCAAATTTAAAAATTACTTTTTCGATTTTAAAAAAGTAAAAAAAAATTAATAAGTTTAATTACTTATGTCTTATGAACTTTATTCTATGTTAATTAAATTATATAATATACATGAAAGTCAGTGTATTCCCATATTAAGATATTTTAAAATAAAATAAAATATAAAATCCAGAATTTTAAAACAAAAATAACATATTTTTGAATACTGTAGCCATTTGCGCATAGAAGATAAGTCGTCGGGATAAATTTTTTTTTTTTAATTTTATAGTACATGATATAAGCTTTAATTTTATATATGTTGAAAGGACACAGTACATCCTGAACATTTTCAAAAATTAAGTTGAAAAAGTTAATTTTTGTAAAAAATTTGCTATTTTAAATACCTCCCTAATGGCAGGTTAAGTGTCAAATTTACAAAAAATATATATCAAATGATAGGTAATGACATCAAGCATCTATAAAAAAAAAATTATATTGATATGTTCATTTTTGAAAAAGTTACGGCACATTTTAGTAAAAAAAATTGAAATAATTTCAAAAATTAGCGATTTTTAAATTTCTAATTTTTTTGGAGATTTCCCCAATTTACGGTCAACGAGGGAAATTTTTTCAATTTTTAAGGTTATTGTCTTCAACTAGATACGATTTGTGATCTTTTGACGTATTGTTGAAAGAAATCCGTTCGGTGAGAGCTGAGAAAAAGTGGTAACAGACAAAAAAAAAAAAAAAAAAAATTATGGTAAAATTAATTCCTTCTCAAGTTCGCATCGAAGCTAAAACNAAAAAAAAAAAAAAAAAAAAAAAACACATTATGGTAAAATTAATTCCTTCTCAAGTTCGCATCGAAGCTAAAACACTAATCAAGTCATGTCGAAATATAATCTTTCTTTAATTAAAATAAAATAATAAGTTAAAAATATCCTACTTTCTCCAACAAAACAATAACTTTTTTATACTATAAAACAGTAACTGCAAAATTTACAACTTTATATTTTTGACTATTTTTTTCATTTTAATACTTAATTAAATGAAAAAAATATCATTTGGTTTTAATTATATATAATTTTCAAATATAAGGACTTGTATTAGTAGTATATTTTAAGAATAATTTATTTGTGTTTTGTGTAAACACACAAAATGACTCTTTCAAAAATTTAAATATAAAGTAACAAAGATTTAAATATATTCCAATATGGTTGTCGTTATTTTTAAACAAATAAATGATCATTTGTAAGGTATAAAGTTTAATGTTTAAAAGAAATATTTTATGAGCTTTATATTCTGATGTAAAATGAATAAAATTAAAAATAAATAAAAAATTTAACATTTTAAATTTTAACAAAATTCGTTCTATAAACGTTACTGATTTTTTCAGTAACCAATTTGTCAATAAAAATAAATTTTTTTTTTATAATAACTAATTCATTAAATAGTGACTGTATTATTCAACTATAACTACAACAGGTAAAAATGATTTTTTTTTGCGAAATACATATTGTTTTACTTAAAATAATAGTTTCAAAAGTTATAATTGTATATGCAAATGATAAATTGAGTCAGAATACTGAAAATCAAACATCTATTACTATTGACAATTTGAATAAACTTGTCAAGGCGTATCCCGCATTTTTAATGTTGACATTACAAGAACACGATTATTACACAGGAAAAGATATTTCCCGTTGTCCAATGCCTTACAACGAAAATACTATATTAGACGATCCTGATGTTGTGCAATCCACGTTTTTTAACCCTAGAGAATATAAAAAACCTTGGACATGGACACAAAAAAATGAAATAGATGTTCCTGTACCCATTAACGGTACTATTGGTAAAAAATTAGGAAATATCATTCAACCGTGTATTAAAAACAATACTAATATTATCCAATGTTATACACACTATCTGAATGTTATGGAAAGCGTTGCTTTAACATTAGTAGACAGATTTTGTTTGTTACAACTTGAATTTTTAAATATTCTTGCACAATTCGATAAAAATGTAGATTATAAAGAAGATTTTAGTTTGTTTAAAATTACAATTAATTTTCCATTGGTAGCTTTCATTATAGAAAAATTTATGGAAGTTTTACAATATATTTCTTTAGCATTTCAAGAATATTATATTTCTACACTACCTCTTGATTGTGTTGAGAATTTAGTGTTAGAAATGAATTCAAATAAAGTAGTGTATGATGCAAATCAATGGTTCAACGGTTCAACGGATAAATTTTATAATCAATTCTTATTATGTCGACATTTAATGAAATCAAAACGAAATTATGCTGCTTTAAACAATGATGAGCAATGGAAATGGAATATTGATTCTAATAATAAACCTGATAACAATTTAATAATTCACGCACAATACGAAAATTATGTTTTAGGAATTAAATTTTTTGCTTATAAAAATAGATGTACAAAAAAATTTGTCATGTATAAGTAAATGATAATTAAATGTTTATACACTTTATTCCCCGATATAATAATAAACTATTAATAACTATTATTTTAAGTAATCATTTATTCAAAAATATTGAATATTCGATACTTTTGTGAATTTTAATGGAAATTGATAATTATTCTTATATTATTAAAATGCTCTAATATAATTTAGAATTATAAGAAATTATAGAATTATATCATTGAATACTATCAATTTCATCTTGGTAGTTTTACACTGTATAAAATTGTATAGATTGTCTTTACTATTGAATAAAATTTTTAGCTTCGATGCAAAATAGAGAATGAATTAATTTTACCATGATGTGTTTATTTATTTATTTTTTTGTGTCTGTTACCACTTTTTCTCAGCTCTCACCGAATCGATTTCTTTCAACAATACGTCAAAAGATCACAAATCGTATCTAGTCGAAGACATTACCCTCAAAAATTGAAAAAATTTCCCTCGTTGTCCCTAAATTGGGGAAATCTCCAAAACAATTAGAAATTTAAAAATCGCTAATTTTCAACATTTTTTAAATTTTTTTACTTAAAACTGCCATAACTTTTTCAAAAATAATCAAATCAATATAATTTTATTTTCATAGATGCATAATGTCTTTACCTATCTTTGGGTATATTTTTTTTTATAAATTTGACCCTTCGACGTACGAAATTCGACGTACGGTTTCTGTAACGGTAACACTTGAGTCTTTCACGCCTGTGGCACTGAATTTTTTCTTAATTCTTTTTGAGTTAGAAAAAAATGTTTAACTCATTTGATTTTTATCTCATTTAGATTCAATAACTTCAATAAATATCAAGGATCCCATTACTGTAGTCTCCTCTCGCAAGAAGAATTTCATATTAATATTATTTTACTATGTGGTTTTTTTTTTATAGTTATCATTTATTTTCTTAGCTCTCACTTGCCCTACTTTTTTGACAAATTTTTGTTTTTAATTAAACACTATCTATAAATTTGTATCGAAGCGTTTTTTATGATAGTAATTTTAATCACTGTCAGATATCATCTAGTTTTTCAAACTAAAAAATATTACATTTACTTTAATTTAAAATATTTATATGGTGTCAGGATTGTAATTTCTAAGTGGATTGATCTTATTTATGAAAAACAGATAAATTTTTCCAATTGTTGAGACTAATGTCTTCAACTAGATACAATTTAATTATACCTTATATATAACTTATGTTTGTAGAAATCAATTAACTTGTGTGCATTTTTTATTATGTTTAATTAAACTATTTGTTTAAAATGTTTTTGTTATAAAGAATTAATAAAGTAAAATAAAACACATATCATAAACTTAATTCTCAGGTATTAAATTTCATAGACTAACATATTTCCCAAAAAGGGCTTAAAATTAAAATTTGTCTAAAAATTTTGAAAATTTATAAAGGATTTTTAAAATTGTATTGGTTCCATCTATTTTTTTGAATTCCGTGATAAATAATTAATCTGTGTCAATTTATCCTTGTGGTATTTAGGTATCTTATAGTAGTGTTAAGCTTATAATTAAATATTTAAAAAAAAAAATTAAAATATTAAATTGTTTCTGAGAAAATAAGATTCTTATCAAAAATTGAATGATATTATATATTGTAGAATTAGGTGACTTATAAGGAGATAAGTTTTTATGCATTATTTTGGTAATTTTTTTATACACAAAAAAAAAATATTTCTTTTATTTCTTGGCATAATTGAGTATTAAATCTCAATTATTATCATAATTAGTTAGATTTACAAAAAGGTATTTACTTTAATTCTTCCTGAATAATTTTGAAAATTCTAGTTTCATAGTTTTGTCATGGAGTTTACGATGAATATATACATGATAGCCAAAGGATTCACCTAAGCAACATATTTTTTGATATTTAAATAACGTTTTAAAATAATTTGGTAAAAAAATTGAGCTGTACTATAAGTTATTTTTAAGGAATTGCAATAAAATCTACATTGGATAATACTACTTCTGTTCAATATGCGGGCTTAATACAGCAATTGACCGACAAAGCAAGAAGTGTTGTACGAGATTTAGATCCATCGAACGATTTAATGTTTTTACGAATGCGAACAAAAAAACACGAGATTATAGTGGCTCCAGGTAATTAATTGATTTATGTCCATAATAAAAGTTTAGATTTAAGGTCGAAGAAACATTTTATACAAAATAAATTCTATAAAAAAAAAAAGAAATTAATAAAAAATCTTAATTTTTTTTAATTCCTTATTTTTATTCAAATGTTTATATCTTGGTAAATTACTTAAGTAACATAACTAACTTAATTATGTTTTAGCTTCGATGCGAAGCTGAGAAGGTATTGGTTTTACTATGATGTGTTTTTTTTTTTTGTGTCTGTTACCACTTTTTCTCAGCTCTCACCGAACGGATTTCTTTCAACGATACGTCAAAAGATCACAAATCGTATCTAGTCGAAGACATTACCCTCAAAAATTGAAAAAATTTCCCTCGTT